TTAGGGTTTTTATGTTGTCTTGCTACGGTTTTATTGGTGGTGTTCAGCAATGCTGCGATGAGCATAAAGAGAAAAAAGATATTAATTTTGGTGGCCATCACTTAGCTTACAAGATGATGGTGTACAAGAAAGAGATGTAAAATGAAAGTCTAAGTTTGTATGTGTTTTGTGTGAAGTTAGTTTTGGTATTTATGGAGATGAATTAGCTAGGGTTTTAAAAGCCTCCACTAGAATAGTTTGTGTATATGCAAGAATTATTATAGAAATAATGGATTTGATAAAGTAAGCTTTATATGTACTCTTCCAAGTGATATTTTAGATTAAGTCATTTTAAATCAGATATCATAAGCTTCCAATATAATGGACCGCACTTCGAGTTACGTGGAATATAAAGTACTGTATAATTATCATTAACCTATGTTCTTTTTTAAAATACAATTTTAACCTAAGTTATTTATATTATCATTATGCTAATCAATGATATGCATTATAGTAGTTTGTGCTAATGTGGTCATTGTATTATCATATGGTTAAAATCCACATATCTTGTCAACAAAAACAACAAAACTAGGAACCTAGTTAATAATGATCGTAGAGGAAATCAATCAAACTATATCCATGTTTATACATTTGTGTTGATCGCTAATTCGTCACAAGATGAGATTTTTTTTTTTTGTTGTTAAAGGAGATGAGATATATTAGGAGTTCTGTATTTTCATAACAATGTCACTTGTAAAATTAGAATTCACAATGAAAATCTAAAAAGTGTTGGAAAAGCAAAACTCTCTAACAATATAATCATAATATTCTACTAACAAAAGCAATAAAAAAAAAACACTGTATATGTTTTGTTATCAACAATGGATTATGTGAATTTGACTTCGAGAAGTGACGCAACAACGATTCTAACATAAATTATTATATGAAATGTTTAGGTCGAAACACTTTTGTTTATTATTGTGTAAATACTTCGAATAGATAATTGTATTATTTTATAGATATTTATGTAACTATTGTGTAAAATAATGTGGAAACAGATCCAGAAATTAAGGAAGAAACACAATGAGGACAAGGTGATGAAGCCAAGTGAGGTGTACATGACTCATTCTAACCGTTAGTCTCCCGCTAG